GCAACCGACTGAACTTGTCGTGACCATGACAATGGATCGTATGCGGCTGCCGCTCTGTCGCGTGACAATTAAAATTGTAATTGTTATGATTATTGCTACCGTTGTTACTGTTATTGTGGGTAGGCGCTTTGGGCGCATTTTTGCCATTGCTGCCGCTGTTGGAATGTGTGTTTGCCGGCGGCGTTTGCGTCACTTTTGTGCCATTCGCCACCTCTTTGGTGGGCGTGGACATGGACTCGCTGGTACAGGAATATGATCGACTGTTTTTATTCACTCCAGATGCCGTCTTATTATTGCTTGATTCAGCCGCCTTGTTTCCGTTCATAGGCAGGCGTTGCGCTTTCTTGAATTTACGCTTTCGTGGTGGCGACAACGGACTCGTGTCCTTCTCAACGACATAAACTCCCGCATTGCTGAGTCCTGATAAGCTGGAAGTAGATCGTGAACAGGAACCGATACCACCGCCGAAGCCGCCACCATCTGTATCACCAGTGCTACAACCGCGGCGTGATTGCTCAACAGCATCCAGTTGGGATAGCCGGCGTTGATGTGCCGTCTTCAGCAATCGGCCCTTGGCTGGCGGTGTATGACCAGCGCTTTTCTTTTGCATATCACAATCACTATATGAAGAGTCGGTGAGTGCGCGCTGGTTACACCGCATCTGTGTCTGGTATTCCGTGTCATCGGAGCGCAATTTTTCACGCATGATGTGCGCGATTTCTTCACTTGTTCGGGCATGCCCCAACCGGCCGTTTGGTCTAACGCTATCAACACTATTGCTACCACTGCTGTTCGAGATTGTTGGTAGAAAGACCTCATCCAATTCGGATTCGTCGGGACTGATGTAGTAGTTGCAGTTGTTGTAGGAGTAGGAAGGACTGTAGGCATTGCCGAAAGAAGAGCCGCGACGCTGCTGTTGGGATGCGGGCGTAGGCGGCGTATTCGCGCTTCTTCCAATGGGATATTCGTAGTTGATACCTTCCAGCTCGGCGCCACTTGAGGCCTCCACTATATTCCACATATCGCGGCCAATATCAGCGGGCACAGAAGCCACAGCGGTCACCGTCTGGTTAATGTTGTTTAGGCAAGGTGTTATAACGCCGCATTTTGGCGTCGATTGCGAGTTCTTGAGTGATTGCTGTTGCTGGCGTAACCAAATGGGAGAATCTGAAGAATATATTAAATGAAACGATTTATTTTTTATTTTTGTATACAATTTCCAAATAATATTCTCTACCATTCTAGTTACCTACCTATATAAATGCGTGGTTGCAGCGAGTTCCGCAAACTCGCCTCTATCGATTGTAGGCGGTGTTGACTTGCCAACGAGAAGCGATGCATTGGATCCACTACTGGTTCAACCTCAATGCCAATTATCTTCAAAAGCAAATTTTTCAAAGCCAGTCTGAAATCCTTTAAATGATATGCATACAGCACAGGGTTGCCGGCCGAATTGAGGTGAGAGAGTATAATGCAGAAAAGTGTCAGCTTCCCAGGCACCTGGCAGTCGGGGCAGAACGCTTTGATACAGTTGATCGTGTACAGCGGAAACCAACAGATCATGAAAAACAACACAATTATGGAGAGATTTTGGGTAGCTTTCACATCGCGCTTGCGTGAAGCGCCTAAGACGCGTAGCATAGTGCCGCCATGTGGGCGGCCAGGTGTTATTTGGACTTGTGTGTTGGAAGAACGGCGGCTACTATTACTCGTCGGATTCATTGTGACTATTTGGCGTACCTGTAGAGGTAAATCAATGTATTGTTGTTAAATTAGCTGCAGTGCAATAAATTTCGAAAATCTCGAAACTCGCTCTTTTAATAAAATTTAAAATTTTGTATGAAACATATTTATGTATGACTCGCGACTTTTGAAGATTTTCGAATTTAAGGTAATTAACTAAATTAACTTTTAATATTTAAAGTAACCACCCACCTGTTTGACGATGACGCGATAGATGTGCGTATAGAAAGCCAACATTAGCAACGCCGGCGTTATTATGGTTGCAAAGTACAGAAAGACCAAATAATTGTAATCCATTACTTTGACAAAATGACAGCTCATATCCGCTTGGTTTTCGGGCTTCACATGCCAACCAAACAACGGTAGAAAACCCACAATTGTGCCAGCGACCCAACACATCGAGATGATTACTGCAAAGAAAGTGAAATGTGGTGAAAAACAATTAGTCTATGAGTAATGAGTATAATGAGAAATGAAAAGAAAAAAGTAAAATGCCACAAAAAAAAAACACGAAAGGAATAATGAACCGAATTTTTATTCAAGGAAATTAGTAACGTCATAGCGGAAGCCGCATATTGGGGTATTTATGTGGAGCGTATATTTTCATATACGAGGGCCACCTGATAGTTCTGTTCTAATTCAAATGTTTTTATTGGATACTAGCTGAATGTGAAAGCATAGCAACAAGCTTTTTACATGAATTCCATTGAGCCCGTTCAGAGAATTATCTTACCCATACGAAAAATGTTGTAACTTAAAGTTGAGGGTCCTTCTACTTACTATCACTCGGTAGGAACCAAGTTTGGTCTCTGATCTAATCCAACACCAATAAAACTTGAACTGAAATATTTCGCACACACGCTGGAAAGTGGTTCGCTGGACCACATGGCCTTACTTAACGGCCACGCATCGATTACCAAACCAGTAGATAGTGATGAAGGGCAAGTTCGCTTACAGATTCGGTCTCCTAACGAAGGCAAAGCAGCCGAAAATTGTTGCGCCAGAGACACTTGTGGCAAATGTGGAAGATCGAGAGCCGTCTGAAACCTCAACAGAAGTCGACTTGGAATCACGCTCTTCTACAAGATTAGCCGCTGGGCAGGGTGGGTGCTGGCACTACCGAACCAAACTCTCTACCAAAAAGGGTAAACGAAGCTCTCAGGCTATTCGCCGACCAGCTCAGTTAAGAAGGGCCAGAAAAAAGGTTTCACGATAGAACAAAACGAGGGTTATCGTCCGTCCAAGAGTGACTTCAAAGGAAGCAATAAGCGTCATAAGAGGTTGCAGGCTAATTTGCATCATGATAAAGGGTCATTGGCCATGTTATGCAGGTTAGGCAGCATACAGAGAATCACTATTGACCTATTCGCAGAACTCTGGTGCCATGCAAGTCAAGTAAAAGATCTGAGCCAGTCACGTCGGTTAATATATGACTTCTTGAGTTGATTTCCTGTTCGTAGAGAATTTTTTTAGGCACCCCCTTTCTTTCCAGGAATGTTGCAGCTCAGGCCATCGGTGTGCATCCGTCCTTACTACACCACCAATGGAAATCCAGAAACTTGTCGAATATTGTCGACTCACAAACCGTCGATCCAACAACTGCTGTGGGACAGCACCAAAAACAATGCATCGGTTGATACCCCTGAATTTATATGGGATTCGCCTGTTCGGAACGAAGCATCGCTCTCGAATTACCAGGTTCGAGATCCCACGGCGATCAAAACTTCGCGAATTCGCTCCTAAAAGAATAAACTGGGACTGCGGGAAGGTCACTTCAATTCAACGAATACATGTCATTGAAACTCTGCCCGACACCTTCTCTTTGCTAAAAATTCCATCGAGCCAGCGGTTGCTTTGTGACACGAGAAGCTCTCACATAGTAACTAGCCTTACCTTTATCTTTCCTTCTCTTAAGTCGTTGACTTACTATGTCCGAGAGTCATCTTGAAGAAAGATTCCTACTCTTAGGTAAAAAAAATAGCTTAGTTCTTCTTTCAATATTTAAATAGTAGTGCGTTCACTTTTATCTACAGTACTTGTCCAACGACCCTTGTAGCACATTAGGAATAAAAGATGGTGGGCGAACTCTGTAGCTATAAGCTAATATCCAGTACATCACGTGATGAATGACAAGCACGCAATGCATACTACATACATAGCGACCCTTAAGAGACTCAAGGGCTACTAGGCAGCTATTACGTAAAGAGCAAATTAAATTACTATGACGCTATCTGTAAACCCAACAAGTGTCACTTTCTTATGCATACCTAATAAATACAAGCGTAAAAGCGTACTTGCTTCAATAAACGTAGAGTGTAGCACAAGACCGAGCCCCTTAAATTATATAGTAGCTGCAATATGCCTTCACACATCCATACGTATGTACGTACATCTAAAAAGCATTACTTGTCGGGACGAGCCCACTATTGCCTGTCTATTTAATTCACATAAATTTCTGTCTGTTTTACATATGAATGATTCTATCACTATGTACATATGTATGTATATGTACTCGTATTGTGCCTTCACACTGCCGTTTAATGGCTGCCACAGTAGTATAAATTAAGTAAACATGCGCGTCCGCCACATCAATTGTATGTCCCGAACATCGCCTGTGTGAATCAACAATGCGCCAATTACACACCGACATTTAACTCTACAGGCGGTGTAAAGACGGTTCATTCGTATGCTGTAAAAAGATTACTTACGGTTGGGTTAATTGAAAGAACTATTTTTAGTTGACTTGATTCATTCAATGGGCCATAGCAGTCGAACTGGTGCCAGTCACTTCACATCACACAGTAGATATTTTAATAGACGCGTTTAAAAATTAACACGATTGCATTAAATTCGTTTTGTTGCAAGTTCTGCAGGGAGATTAAAAGACTAAAATTGGCAGTTGGAAAAATATCGGCTCCTTTTGTTTCCAGAGGGGAAGATTCTGTAACCAGTTAGCGACAATTTTCGGATCGCTCTTTTTGACGCATGATATGGATGCAGCTCGGATCATCGGTGTGTCAATATAAGGCGGAGAGTAGGAAGTCGTAATTGCATCCGTCAACTTTTCTATCCTCACCATATCACCAACTTGTCCACCACCTGCTGTGGGCAGCACCAACAGCAAAGAATGGGTTGAAAAGTAATAGATCTCATTATCTGCTACAGGTCTTATCCTGAACTTATATGGGATTAGCAAGTTTGAAATGAATCATCGATAATATCTGGCTCTTACGATATCGATAGCTTGTCCTCACTCTTAAATTTGACTATCTCTAATATTATATAGAATGAGCTGAATATAAGGAGCACCACTTTTTTGAAGAAAAATTACATTTCTCTGAAGAAGTGAAATAACTGGGACAAGCCTTCATAGAATCCGCAATTTTATAAATCTATTCATAAGATCAGATCCTCGTTTGGTACCACCAGAAGCCTGTAGAGGGAAATAAACATCAGAGCGATACCATTTCCAAACCCCTACTGCTATTTTCTATGCCCACCTGGTGGAAGAAGACCGTAAGGAAGCCCACGCAGGCAGAAATTGGATAATGTGAAAGATACAAACTTCAGACACGCATGCATTCTCAGGCTTATAGAACAAGAGAAAGAACGAGGTATTAGCCTTGTGAACCTGAGACTTTCGCGGTTTAAGTACATACATAAGTTCAAGGCCTTTTCCCCTAGTAGAACCCACTGGGACAATGTCGCACCTAGTCTTTGGAATGATTTAGGAAACTGGCCTCGGAACCCAGAAGGAAGCTAATTATGTTTCTGAGGCTGAGGTGCATGCTAATGAACTACGTCCGAGATAGTATATGAAGAATGGGGCGAGAAAACAAAACTACTTAAATAGACTCTGACAGCTCCGAAAGCACATGGGGTAACCCCAAAGCTGATGTGGGACTGCCGTCAGCGGGTTGATCTCATTTGAACACTCTGGCGCCATGAACAATGAAGTGGTTAATAGGAAAAGGGCTGAATCCCTACATGAGCACCTTATTCGATTTGAATTTCACAGCCGACTCGGATAGTACATTTGTTACGGTAAATAATTAGTTTTAAGTTGCTATCTCCCTTACTGATCTGCATTTCCAAATCATGTTTACCTATCTCTTAGGCTGTTGTTCTCTTAGACATACCAATGTGTGTCCTGGAATCCAACAAGTTCAAGCATTGACGTGACTCACTGACGATAGCAATGCGCGACATTTCCAAAAAAATTTTCACTACTTGACAATCTAACGCTTTCATTTTCGCTTAGCTGTCAACGAATATATGTACATATGTACATAGTGACTTTTCTATTTAGCGACTTACTACTCTGTGTAAGATAAATAGCCAGCCAGGCGATCTCCAGGTCCTCTGAACATAGACTCTCGCTAATTCCTTTTTCCACCATTGATCCATCGGTATAAATGGTAGTGCCATTATTTTACAGCGGTGGACTAGCATCCCATCCTAAAAA